CCCAGGCCTGGCCCCTAAACCTCTGCAGGATCTCCCATCCTACTCCCCTTCCCTCCATCCCCAGTCCCTCTGCAGGGAACTAGCAGAGAATTCCACTGCCCCGGGGCATGGCAGAGCTTCTGCAGGACAGAGCAGGACCCCTGAATGACAGTGTGGAGCAGAGCCCTCGCTCCCCATGCCCCAGGCCCCCTCGCAGACTCACTTTGGGCTGGCATGTGAATAAGAAACTCATGTGTCACACCACTCTGATTTCTGATTATTTCTTATAGCAACTACAGCTACTGATCCTGATTTATCTTTTCCTAAATAATCCTTTCTACACCTACACCTGTGCCCATTACTGATTTTCTCTCAACGGGCCACGTCCCCCCAGCCTTTATCTCTACCTTCAATCTTGCCCTCACAAGCCCATCTGTTAAGACAAAATGAGCTTCTTAAAACACAAGTCAGATGGTGCCACTCCTTGGTGTCCATATTTTAACAGTGGCCCCAAAGTGCTGTAAGATGGATACTCTTCCTGTGCCTGGCCTTGGCTGACAACCTCATGTCCAATTTCTGTTGCCATTCGTGGCCCTGGCCACTGAGAACTCTGGTCATTTCTGTCCTCAGGGCTGCCTCTCTTGCCCCCTCGCCCTGGAGTGCCCTTCCTCGTTTAGACTAATGCTCTGCATCTTCTACGATCAGTCTGGCAACACCTCCTCTGGGTTCCCTTCCCCTAGTACCCCACATTCCTGCCTACGCCACATGGGTGTTTTCTATGCTGTGAGCCTCTTTGGACTCTCACACAGAGACTGAGTGTGCTTGACACATAGCAGGGGCCCCGACAATTACCCCCCAGTTGTGACAATCAAAAATGTCTCCAGACATTGTCACGTATCCCCCAGGAGACAAAACCAGCTCCAGTTGAGATTTCTTGCTCTAGAGTGATGTGGGAGAAGTGGTTATCTGGCCACCCTGACAAGAAAACAGAGGGCCACACTGTCTTGGTGGGGTTACCCTATTCGAGGTTGACCTGAAAACTGGATTTTGTCAGAACAGACTCTCAGAAACAGACTCATATGAAGCAAATTCAGAAGAGGTGTGGGAGGCAGACATAGGGTCTACATGGTACTCACCACCTGTTTCTTCTTTGCTAAAAGACCTCAGTGTTTTTCAACATGGCCCTGTGTCCAGCATAAGCTACAGCTCATGGTTGGTCTAGGCCATTCATGATCATTCTGTGCCTCAATTTCCCAGTCTCTCTTGCAGATGGGGTGGCAGTTCTGGTTGATGAGATTTAAGGGGAAATCTAGTATGAGGGTTTCTTGGAAATTTTTTGCTTTTCTGATAAAAAAGAGCCCATACAGCAGACACTGCCACCGCCCCCCACCTCCTTCCTGCCTTGACTGTAGACATGAGGGCTGGGGCTGGGCAGCCACGAGTCAAAGGCCAGGGGGATTTCAGACGGGTCAGCATGGACACCCTGGACCACTGAACCAGCATGGCAGTGTCCTTCAACTTTGGGATTTCTTGTAATGGGAGCAAAATGACTTTCTGGTTTTGTGTAAGCCTCAGTAGTAGGCTAAATAGCGTCCTTTGCTTCAGAACATGAGCTTATTTGGAGATGAGGCCTTTACAGATGTAATCAGTTAAGGATCTTGAGATGAAATCATTTTGGTTTTAGAGTGGGCCCCAAATCCAATGACTGGTGTCCTTATCATAAGGGGAGAAGGTGTACAGAGATGTACAGGGGTGTCCTTATCAGAAGGGGAGAAGATGTAGAGGGATGCACAGGGGAGGACGTCACGTGAAGACAGAAGCAGAGTGTGGATACTGAAACCCTGGTTCCTCCCCTCCAGTACCCCACGGCCCTGCAGTGTGACACTGCTCCTTCCCTGAGACGTGGAGTCTATTTCCTCACAACTTGACCTGTTGAGGCCTTGCCACTTGCTTTGGCCCACAGAATGATGAGGAAGTGAAGACATTCCAGTTCTGAGCCTTGTGCACGCCCGCTTGCTTTCTTAAACCCTGTTCAGCCCCACACTGAGAACAAGCTGGGGCCAGCCTGTTGGATAACATGAGACTCATGGGCAGGTCAACCCTGGTGTCCCAGCTGCCAGCCACCCAACTGCCAGCCATGTGAGTGTGGCCACTCTTCACCTGCCAGCTTTCAGCTGACCTGCCAGCTGCCCACAGCAAGTTCAGCAGTGTGTGACCCAGAGCAGCCGAACCACTTAGCTGATCTGTAGACTTGTGAGCAGTACTAAATATCTACTTTAAGCCATTGAGTTTGGGGGTTATTTGTTACCCAGCAGTAGCTGACTAATATACACACACCTTGCTTTTTTCAGTTATTTACATTCCCTATTCAGTGCCTGTGATTTAGGCAAAAGTTTTCAAACTTCACCAGGTATCTGCATTTTGACCAGCATTGCTGGATCTGGCATGGGTAGTCCATGGAATACACTTTGTAAACCATTTTTTCGTGAGAACAAATCTAAAACCATTGTGTAATCTCTAATATTACCTTCCCTCCAATATCAGGTGAAAGAGAGGAGTGAATTTGGCCCAAAAGGAGAATAGCCTGGCTTATCTGTGGAAATAGATAAGCAAGAGAAGGATCTCCCTTGCCCAGGGTCTCGAGAACTATATTTACTTTCAGTATCGTTTCTTGATTTGCATTAAGAAATACACTGCTCCTAATTTATATAAAGAGATTTATGATCGAATACATAAATAACAAAACCTTGGCCTTAATTACAGAAAATTGTCTGGTGGCTGGTGGATCAAATTAAGGGGAATTAGCTAGAGGCAAACTGCAAAGACAGAGCATGAGGCGATAAAGAAAAACTTAATGCTGAAAGCAGCAAACCACGACACCCTGTGTAACAGACCCTGGCAGCTGGACAAGGGCACCTGCTTGAGCTCATTCCCGCTAGGCCAGTGGGTCGCTGTCGGTTATTCTGCCACTCTTCACTGAGGACCTAGCATGTGCCAGACAGTCCTTGAGCAAACACACGGCAGGGACAGGACAGGTAAACATTCCTCTCCTCATGGAGCTTACATTCCAATGGGGTGGGGACACAGATGACAAACAACATAAAATATATACTAGATGGTGTAGTGGGTGCCATTATGTCCCCCCAAAAGATATGTAAGTCCTAACCCTGGGCACCTGTGAATGGGACCTTATTCGGAAACAGGGTCTTTACAGATGTAATGAGGTTAAGATGAAGTCATTAGGGTGGGCTCTAATCCAACACAACTGATGTCCTTATAAGATGAGAAGAGACACAGACACAGGGAAAACACCCTGGGATGATGGTGCCAGACATTGGAGTGATGTATCTACAAGCCAACAAATGCCCAGCGGGTCCAGCAACAACAGAAGCTGAGAGAAAAGCACGGGGCAGATTCTCCCTGAGAGCCTTTGGAGAATGTGGCCTTGCTGACAACTTGATTTTGGACTTTCTGCCTCCAGAACCGTGAGAGAATAAGTTTGTTGTCTTAATCCACTCAGTCTGTAGTATTTTGTTACGCAACCCTAGGAGCCTTAACGGAGATAAATGCAAAGAGAAAAATCAAGCAGCGAAGGGCAAAAGGATACATGGAGGGTTAAGTTTGTCCTTAGAGCCACTTGGAAGTCCTTACTAAGATGTGAGAGTGGGAGGAAGGGAGCTGTGGGAACACCTGGGGGAAGAGGCTGGCAGATGGAATAGTAAGTGCAAAGGCCGGAGGCAGGAGCTGGAGTCGTGGCTGGTGCTGGCTGGATTAGGGCAAGAGCTGGGAGGCAAGCAGGGCGGAACAGGGAGAAGGACCAGACAGCAAGGGACTCGCATGCCAAGGCAAGGCTGTTATAGTTTGCCCAGTCAGAAAGCAAGCCCCTGGAGGGTTTGGAGCAGAAGAGTGGCATGAGTTGACTTTAAAAAGAGTAACGCTTTTATTTTTTTCTTAAAAGGATCACTCAAGCAAAAATGCTGAAAGGGACAAGAATGGAAAAGTGGGAACAGGCTAGGAGGCACCTCTTTAAAATGGGCTAGAAATAGTGATGGCTGGAAGGGGAGGAAGGACAGGGAAGGAGGGAGAGCAGTTGGGTTCTGCATATTGCCGGCAGTGAAGCCAAGAGGATGTGTTGGTTACAGGGGGAGGGAGAGAGAAGCACCAGGTATGACTTCAAGGATTTTGGACCGAGCCGCTGCAAGCAAAGCGCTCCAGAGTAACAACTGTTAGTTTCACTTGCTTGTGTTTGACACTTTGTAGTTTACTTAATGCACATGTTCTAAATCATAATTTCAACCTGTACCACATACAGGACTTAAAAACGTCTGAAGGGAAATATTCATTTTTACCATTAAATAACACCACTTGCCCGAAAGCCTCAGTACGCAACGCTCGGACCTTTCCTGTCGGTACGCTGCCCGAGTGTCGCGCTTAGTAACGTCCACTCATCCGTGATGCAGACGAGCAGAAGAGCTTTTAAAACGTGCCCTTAAAAAGGCCCAGTTGTGCTGCGCCACAAAGGCTCGGCGCCGGGCGCTGCTGGGCCGCGCAAACTTTCGGGCCGGGCTCGGGGGTGCCTCGCGGGGGTGGCCGCGACGGACACGGACCCCCGGCGTCGGCGTCTCACAACGCGGGGCCGGCGCCGCCTTCCAGACGAAACCACCGTCAAGCCGGCTTCCCTCGCGCTGGGGACACCGGATCCCAGGCGGGCAGCGGGCGACCTCCCCGCGAGCCTGCGCCCTCGAGCCGGCTCCAGTCGCCCGAGCCTACGAGCCACCCCGGGGCGAACCCTGCCCGTGTGGCCGGGGAAGGCGCACTGGGCACTGACCGGGAAGTTTTCATTACCAGAGGAAACACACGCCCCGACGCGGACCGGCTGGGAAGCGGGTTTCGCCGCCGTCCGTGCCCGGCGAGCAGACAGGCCCCGAGCGCCGGCGGATGGTGCGGGGCGCGGGGCCAGCGGCCGGCTGCGTGGCTCCTCTGGTGAAGACGTGAGGGGACCCGGCCCGGCCCTACCACAGGCCGGCGGGGCCAGGAGGAGCCGCCTCGGGTGGCGCCCAAATCCGGACCCGCGAACCTGCTCCCGCGCACGCGCAGCGCGGCCGCCGGGGACCCGGCCACAGCGCGCATGTCTGCACGCCCGGCCTGCGCGCAGCTCCGAGAGGCTCGCGCGCCCGCCCTAGCCGGGTCTAGTCTGCAAGGGCTCAACGCCGCCGCCACCTCAGCCCCGCCCAGTCGCGCAGCCTTCCGACGCGGTCCCCTCCCGACCCGCAGCCCGGGTGCCCAGTGCGCAGGCGCGGTAACCAAGGCGGCGGTGTCTAGTGAGGATTTGAAATCGGCCGCGCGTGCGCACTGGCGTCGCGGCCCGGCGAGGGAGGCCGCGCTTCCTCCCCGCCGCCCCCTCCCCCGCCCCTCATTGGAGCGGAGGCAGCGGCGGCCCCCTCCTTCCCCCGCGCCCTGCCGCCGCCGAGAGTGTCTTTTCGCCGCCGCCGCCGCAGGAGCACGGAGCGAGCGGAACGAGCGTGACTGAGGGCCCGGCGCACGGGCGGCGGCGCCTCCCGCGGGTCCCCTGCCGCGCGGCGCCTGGGCCCGCCCCCTCGGCCCCGCCGCCCTCCCTCTCCGATGGCCTCTCTCCCCGGCCCGAGCCGAACGCCGCCACCGCCGCGGCCCCCGCGCCCGCCCCGCGCCTCGTGAAGCGGGAGCCCGCAGGCCGGAGCCGCCCGGGGACGTGCCGAGCGCCGCCGCCGCCGCCGCCAGCCGCGGCCTGCCCGGGCCCGCCG